AGTCACATGGGCATTGCCATCGCTGCTGGTCCCTGGGGCGGGCATGACGGAGATGGCGTTATCACAGGGCTGCGGCGGCCCCCACGCTCCTGGCCTGGAGGCTTTCCCACGGGAACAGACGAGCAGGGAGGTGGCTAGAGCCAGTCTGGGTCCCAGGCTGATCGCTGCGTGGTGCAGGGAGGTCCTCTCTCAGAGTCCCTCGCTGTTCCGTAGCTCTGATTGTCACTGTTTTATGGCGGAGGTACCGGATGCTCTGCCAACGGTGGAGTGCAGGTCGGTGACACTTGTGCTGACTAGGATGCTAATGACATGGGCCAACGTGTCTCCCTGCTGGGTGCCAGGCAGGGAGCTCAAGGATCCCCAAGGTCATTCAGCTTTCGAGAGGAGAAGCCTGGGCTTGAGCTCCTCTTGTCTGACAAAGCCCACTCCCGAGCAAGTGGTGCTGCCCAGGACCCTCTGCAGGGGTGGGCAAGGTGGCTCAAATGTACCTTGGCAGGAGGCCTCTTACAACCCCGCCACGTCTCCTCCTCACCCAGCCTCTGCTCGGGCCTTAGTCACAGTCGGTGGCCAGGGTCACCCGACCTCTTATTCTGTCCTGGGGTCCACCTCCCCGCCCTCCCTGGGAGCCCGTCTCTGTCACCTTTGCAGGCTGCTCTGAACAGTGGCTCCCTGGCGGGCCTCATCCAGGTGCCCACTCTGCCCAGGCCGAGGTGTGCCCTTTACCCGTGTGGACTCGTGTGTGTGGGGGGCATGAGGTGGCTCTGCTTTTGTCCTCTCTTGACAAATGAGGGCTGGGTGGGGACAGAGACGCTTGCCCAGGTCCCTAGCTGGCAGAGCGGAGCGGAAGCCAGCTCCCTCACTGCCCCTCTTCTCCGTCTCTAAGAGGAAGGGGCCCCTTGGGCTTTCTGGGCCTCCTGCCCTACTTCTGACCTCTGTCACCAGCCAGCAATGCCCATGCCCTTCCCTGGGCCTGGGGAACCCCTAGTTTGTCACTGCTGAGCCCCAGCAAGGCGTTTCTAGCTGGGGGTACACACGACACCCCACATGCTGCAGGTCACGCTCATTCCAGGTGCCCACAGGCAGCTCCTCCCGTGCCTGCTCCCTTCCCGCACCCCTAAGCTTCAGGGAAGCGTCTGACATCTTGTCCCCTCTCCCTCAGGCCCGCTGTCCTGGGTGGGCTGCTTCTGGTCTCCTGGACCCCAGTCCCCTCCCACCCTTCCCTCTGGCTCCATCTTCCTCAAGGCCCCAGCTGGGCCTGGGCTCTGCCCCCAACCAAGGCTGGTACTGGCCCCTAGAGTCGAGGAGAGGGCTTCTCATGCTTCACCAGGTACCGGAACCCACCTGGGCGCCTTGTTAAACTGCAGGTTCTGACTCAGCAGATCTGGGGCACCCGGAGACCCTAACAAGCTCTAGGTCTGTGGACCACGCTTTGAGTGCTGATCAGACACCTTCTATGGCTCCCCAGTGCCCAAACTCCATGCTTTCCAAGACTTCCAGAATGTGCCCCCTCCTGCCACAACAGAGCCCCCTTCTTTCCCCCCGCGGCTCCTCTTCCACCTCTTGACTCCTGTTGATCTGATCGCTCTACCTGGGATGCCCTTCCTGCTACTCTGGTTTTCAAAGTCCTCTTCGCCTCCTTTAAGAGCCTGCAGGGGCTCCGGGGCCAGTCCCCTGCTTCAGATCCTGGATCTCTGTCACTGAAGGCGTGGGCATGCCACCTGCCCTGACTGTGCCTCGAGCTGCTTTCTATAAAGTGGGGCTAGCAACTGTCATGAAGGGCAAAGCGATGGTGAATATACATTGTGTAGCCAGGACCTACACCTGCTAGGTGGTTGGGTGAAGCCACACAGCTAGAGGCCCAGATAGGTGCCCGCTGTGTGGCCTTGGCTGAGTTACTGCCTGTCTCTGGCCATCTCATTCCACATACTAGTGATGCCCCGTCACAGGGTTGCAGTGATGATGTAGGAGTGACCCAAATACTTACGGCACGGGAGGTCCCTACTCATCCTGTTACCAGAACCAATAATAGAATCATTGAATCATTTATTTGGATTCTCCACTTTGACTTGCAGAACCTTCTAGGGATCTTCTGGAGCTAATACCTGGCTCCTAGGTTCCCTAGATGAGAGCTAGGCTCATGACCCTGGCCAAGCTCCAAGCCGGGGCCAGAGCCCGGAGCCTGGCACAGTGCCCAGCACAAAGTAGGTCTGAGAAGCCGGATGGTAGGAGGGGCAGGCAGAGACCTGGTCCTCTCCTATGTGGCCAGTGGAGCTGGCCATGGGCACTGAGAGGGGAGCCTTCAGCTCTCCCTCTGAGCCTGCTGGCCAGTGCTCTCTGTGGGCAGGTGGGACGCAGCTGTGCTGCTGGCCTAGAGCCTCCGCCACCTGCTGCCTGGGCCCCGAACAACCAACCGCGGGGAGACTGAGGCTCAGAGGTGGCGACTTGCCCAGAGACCTGGCATGTCAGGGACTTTTGTCCTTCTCTGAGTAACTCATTCCTGTCCTCTTGTTTGCTGTGCCCCCACCCCACTGTGGACTGGCCCCGCCTGCCCTGGTAATGAGGCCATGCCCGTGGAGGCCCTGGGTGGGAATAGCAGGCCTGACCAGGGCCAAGTGCCCACTACGGCATCGGGCAGGCATCTCCCACAGCCTGGCCAGCGGGGCTCTGGCTTGGAGGAGCACAGAATGGTCTTCTGGAAGGTCTGGCCTGTGGCTCCCTGCACCCCACCAGGCAGCTTGGTTTTGAGCAGGCAGGTGGGGGAGTGGCCTCCAGCCGTCCCCGGCTGCCCGAAAGGCTTTCACTGTGTCACATGTGGGTGCAGGGGGATTTCCCAGGACCCCTCTCTAGGATGCAGAGAGACCCCTACCAGAGAGAAGGGACCTCGAGTTTCCCCGGGGGGTTGAGGCCCTATGCTGGAGGCCCAAGGAGGCTGGCTAGGAGGACTGGCTGGAGACTGGCTTCTGGCTCCCACCCAACCCTGCCACTCCCCAGCTGCGTGCCCTTGGGCAGTTAGCTCTCCTCGGTGAGCTTCGAGTCCCTTATATTTGCTGACAGCTCACTGAGTGGCAGGTGGGTACCCTGAAGACAGCAGGAGGAAGGTTCTAGAAGGCAGTGGGGCTCCGTAAAGGGAGCATTTATTTTTCCTCTTATTGGCCCTGTGTGGCTGCCCTTGCCCGGTAGGTGAAACCCTCACGCACGGGTGACTTGGAGTCCTTCATCCACGCTGTCCTGATGGAGGTGGACGGACGGGGTCCCCACTCTGTAGGGCACAGGGTCATCTGAAGCTACCCCCAGAGCAGGAGGGAGCGGCCAACAGAGACGGTGGCCAGAGGGGCAGGGGCGCTGGTCACTTCTAGATTCCTCTTTCCGACCATTTGGGGGCACTGGGATGGACTCTTCCCGGCGCCTCGGTCTCCCTCTGCTGGGCAGACAGACTGGAGAGGCCATTCCTAAAGGCCCCGGGGTCTTCGGATCTCAGGGCCCCAGAGCTGCGGGTCCCTGGGAGCCTGAGAAGACGCACGGAGGCCCGGAGAGGCCGTGAGGTCAGCGGCCAGCGGCGTGTGGCCCTGTGCCAGGTGCCTGAGTCCTGCCTTCCTCCTGGCCTGCCTTCCGCTCTGCCGGTCAGCGCCGGCCCCCGCCTGCTGCCAAGGAGGCTGGGCTCGTCTTCAGGAAGGGGCAGCATCCGAGTGGCCTGTTGCCGCGGCAACCCTCTCCCTGCGGGAAGCTGGGGAGAATGGGATGATCGGTGCAGGGTGGGGAGGCAGAGGTACCCCGGCCTGGACCCCACCGAAGCCTGGCATCCACTCCTGGGTGCTGGGGGAGGCAGAGGCCCCCTGCCAGGTGCTGAGTCATGGGCATCCCCCAGAGCCCCTGCCTCCCTCCCTCAGCCTCTCCTCCTGCCTCCTCTGAGACACCCGTGACTCACACAGTCATCTCGGGAGGAGGAGCCCGGGAGGCTGGAGGGGGTGTCCCTGGCCCCTCCCCTGGCTCCACCGGCTGCTGCCACCGGAGAGGGGCCAGCGCCTCCCGTGCTCACTCCCCAGCCCGCGGCTTGGCAGGCGGCAGGACCCGGGCGCCAGGTGGAACCTCTGGGGTAGATCCTGAAAGGGGGTCCTCTGAAGGACCCTCCCCCTGGCACCAGGTACCAACAAGGGCTCCGGCAGGTGGGAGGCAGGGGAGGGCGGTGTGCTGGGGCCGGTGAGGGGTGGGGCAGGGGCGGGGACAGGACTGGGGGGTCTTGGTCTAGGCCAGAGGAGCCTGGCTGTGCGCGACCCCCAGTGTGGGGTGGGTGGGCATGAAAAGGCGCTGCCTGCGGGGGCGGGGAGGGCACCCAGGAGGAGTGGGACACTCAGAGCTGCTGGCCCACTGGGAGCCGGGGAACAGCAAGTGGGCTCTCCAGGGTCCAGCAGGCCATCTGCCCTCTGTGCCTGGAGGGCACTGCTCCCATTGCACAGACGGGAGAACCGAGGCTCTGAGAGGGCAGGTGGCTGGCTCAAGGTCACACAGCAAGTGCAGGGATGGGGAGCTAGGAGCCAGGTGCCGGGAGGAGAGGGTGCTTTAGGGGCCAGTCATGGAGATCCTCGGGGTACTCTCCCCTCTAGCTGTCCTGGGGTCTGGGCCTCGGGTAAGCCAGCTTTTTGTCACTCAAGTGGACAGGCATGGCCCCGGCTGTGGGCTCGGGTGTGAGTCCTGGGAACCGGGCAGCCGGGTGGGGAAGCCGTGGAGGCTGGAGAGTTCCTTACCGCCAACCACCCAGCCCAGCACCCAGCTGCTGGGGACCGCTTCCTCCCTGAGCCCCACGGGCAGGACACTGAAGGCTCCGGTCCTCTCGCCAACCAGCCGCCCTTGTGTGGGGCCGGGTTGGGGTCCCCCTGGGCCTTCTCTTGACTGAAGGGGTGCGACTGGGTCCCTGTCACCCCCTGCCCCACTGGAGCCGCCGTAGCCTGAGGTTGGTGGGGTGGGTAGGAATAGCCTTAGCACCCCCTTCAGAAGCCATGGAAGTTGTTTACGTGAACATTTATTGAGTGCCTTCTGTGTGAGCTGGGCTGTCCTGGGGACACGGGGCTAGATGAGGCAAAGAAGGCTTCTTGGAACTCCTGGGCCGCCCAGCCCTGCGCCCCCGCAGGTCCCCGAGGGCAGAGGGTTGGTTCTTGGGGTCCTGGACTGGGAGGAGCAGCGGTGCTGGTCAGTGGGAGCCGCATCCTGCAGGGGTCTCCCGAGCCCAGGCCAGCAGTCCTGTGGGTGGCTGTCCCTTCCCTGCGTGACCTGGCCTCCTGTGCAGCAGGGACCCCAGGGCCTGGGATGTAGCTTCACCTTGGTCTAAACACCACCATGGACACCTTTCCTACTGGTCCCCTGGGCTTGGTGGCCCTAGCTACCAAGGGGGTGTGTGGGGTGACCCGAGGTGTCCTGCCCATGGGCCTAGGGTGTGCCTGAGAGCAGGGACAGAAGTCGGGCTCCAGGTTGGTCTGTGTGGGGAACCTGTGCTCTGGGCAGTGGGCAGCCAGGCTGGCACACACCCCCCAGCAGGGTCACAGACAGACAGCGAGGGGGTGAGAGGGGGAGGGAGGCGAGCCTGGCGCGAGGGGAGGCCTCTGCCGGGAGCACGGCGCTCTGGGAAGGCCTGGCTGGGCTCGGGTGCCCGGAGGGGGAGGGCGGCGGGGGCTGTGGCTGGGCAGGGGTGTTCCTGGCAGAGGCACTGGAGTGGGGCAAGGTTTGGGGAATGAAGAGAGCCAGAGGGCGTGGGGAGGGAGATGGCACTGGAGATCGGGCACAGGCCACTTGAAGGCACTCGCTGCCCGGCGGGCAGCTCCTGGTCTGCTCTGCAGGGGAAGGAGGCGGGAGGGCTGGGCAGGGTGGCTGGCAGCTGGGTCAGGGGGGACTGAGGCTGCCATCCAGTGGGACGGGTGACAGGCTTGCGCAGTGGCCTGGGCCTGGCTGTCAGGGTGAGGCTCATGCTGGGGACCGCTTCTTAGCTGAGGGAAAGGGGTGGAGGTGGCCGAGCTGTGGCAGGGTCCACGTGTCAAGGGATGGCCCTCTTAGCAGGACCCGGCATGACAGGAGCGGGGAACGGGCCGGGGAAGGAGCCACGGTGGGGGTCACTGTATCCTGGGTGAAAGCCGAGCGTGGGTGCAGGGTGCTGGGTGCTGTGCCCATGTCGGGGCCATGGGATGGCTTCCAGGTTGCAGGGGTGCGGGGCAGGGTCTTGAGAGGCAGGGAGAAAGCAGTGGGTGGGGAGGGGGCGGGAGGATGGGATAAGATGGCCCCACAGTCCAGGCCCCACGCTGCCCCCTCTTCCCCAACCAGGGCCCTAGGCAGGGTCCCCTCCCCCATCCCCATCCTTGGGGTGGCCCTGTGGACCCCGCCTTCTGACTCACAGCAGATGGGGGCATCATGTGAGCAAACCAGCGGCCAAGGGGGAGCAGACTCCAGGGACCTGGCAGATGGCAAGTGGGGGGTGGGGCAGGGCTGGCACAAAGGGGCCTCTCAACAGCGAGGGCAGGCGCTGGCCTCAGCCTCGGGCCCTGCTCCCCCCGAGGTCAGCTGAGAGCTTGGTGCTGCTCCAGCTCGTGCCCCACTGGAGCTCTCGGGGACCCTGGGGGAGCCTTGCCCATTCTGGAGCCAGGCCTGGGCTGCCAGAGCCAGGGGCCAGGGGCGAGGGAGGTGCTGGGGACAGGGTCTCTTCTCTGCTGGCCTGTCCTGGCAGGGTCCGGGCCCAGACACCTTCGCAGACTCTATGCCCCTAACTCTCCAGGGTTCCCCGGGGCTCAGCCTGGGTGGGAAGGTCCCCAGGTTCCTGTGGCCGCCCCTGCCTGGTGCTGGGCTCTGCATGTGGCACCTGTGCCCCTTTGAGAGGAGGATACTGGGGCGAGGAGGCTTGCCCCGTGAAGGTCGTTGGGGTTGGAGTCTGAGTTCTCAGCTGCTGTGCTCTTCTGTCCCTTTCCTCAGCCAGGACAGGCACGGTGCTAGGGCCAGACGGTGTGTCCCCGACTTGGATCCCACTCTGGCCCCTGCCACGCCCCTATTTCTCTCGGGCCTGGGGACCTAGAAAGAGAGCAAAGCCTGGGAGGATCTGGGCTTTGTTCTCTGGGGGTGTGGACGTGGCTGATGCCTCGGTTTCCTCACCTGTAAACTGTAGCTAAGGGCCTCCTCTTCAGGGGACTGCTGTGGTCACTCGGGGCGTTAAGACGGGAAAGTGTTCAGAAGTGTCCCTGGCCTGCAGAAATGAGGGCCTTTACCGTTCTTCCATTGGACAGATGGGTAAACTGAGGCAAGAGGTAACTTCTAGCCACTCAGAAGCCCTTCTTCCCGTGCCCCTTACCTCTGGGAGAGTCGGACACGGGCAGGACTCACCCCTTGTCCCTCGTAGCCTGATCTCTGCTGTGGGAGGGAGGCTGGCATGGTGCGCTGGGCACCGGGCTCCGTGGCTGGCGCTGGCCTAGGTAGTTGGTGGGTGGACTTGGCGGCTCCGGGCAGCAGAGATAGGAGCCGAGGCCCAAGGAGCTGGCAGAGCTCCCAGCACAGTGCGCAGGCCCCGTGGCAGCCGCGGAGGGGCTGGGTGACAGGCTACTGTCCCGCCCCGCTCAGCCCCTTGAAGAGCCAGTGGTTCTGCAGGGAATGGCTCCCAGACTCGAGGCCCCTTTAACTCCACAACGAGCCCAGAGGAGCCGTAAGGCCACCTCCACAGCATCTCGGACCCCCTCTCTCTCCGGGCCTCCTCCTCCCCCCAAGGTGTCCCCCTCCTGCACCCTCAGGGCCTCCGAGGGGGAAGGGGAAGGGCGCTGGAGATGCCGGTCTGCGTAAGCCTCACTTAGGGCTTGACTCAGAACCAGGTTCAAGTCCTTGACCGGTGACTGTGAGCAAGGGGACACTTCCTCGAAGTCACAGCTTCCCAGGCTCAGTGGCGCCGGCCTGTAACCCTGGCCACGCAGGAGGCTGAGGCAGGAGGATCCCAGGTTCAAGGCCAGCCTTAGGAACAATGCAGAGGGCTGGGGTGTGACTTGGTGGTTAAGTGCCCTGGTACCAAAAAAAAAAAAAAAGATACTGTGTCCATCTACAATTTAAAATATTTTAAAAATAAATAAAAGGGCAGGGATGTGGCTTGGTGGTTAAGTGCCCTGGTACCAAAAAAAAAAAAAAAGAAGAAGGTACAGCTTCTCTGGGCCTCAGTTTCCCTGCCTGAAAATGGACCTAGCAGCCCCCCGCACCCCAGCAGGGCCGTTGCTGGAAGTCAAGGTGACATGGTGCAGAGTGTGAAATTATCATGACATGTGGACTTGGGAGTCTGCATGAGCCTTGCTGAGACTTGCTTTGACGTAGACACTGCAGGGATGAACGGGGACAGACCCACATTACGGAGGTTATGCCATTTGGACCTCGACCTCAGCTCAGACCCCTGCTTCTCCAGCTTCCAGCTCAGTGGCCCCCTGGGTGGTTAGGGACGTGACTGGTTCTGTCCCAGTTCTGTGTGAACCTAAACAGGTGTATTGACCTCTCTGTGTTTCACTTTTCTAAGCTTTAAAATTACAATGGTGGATTGTGCCTTGAGAGGGTTCAGGCAGCCCCTGGATTTCACGTGTTCAGTATTGTGCCTGGCACACGGTGGAGGCTGTTGTCATTGTCACTGCAGCCTTCCTGCAGGGAGTCCTTCTGGTAGGGAGCAGCAGAGCTTTTATCCCAGACCCACAGCTCCATCCTCCTCTGAGGTTGCTGGGAAAGGTGCCGATCCCCAGAGAGCCCACTCCTGGGCACGCTTCCATCCCAGGACTCTTGCTCTGCTGGTCAGGGGCGTGGTCCAGCCTGGGGCTCCCTTCTGCTCCCAGGCCCTGAGACCCGGTTACTGGACCCGGATCCACTGATGCCCTTGAAAGCCTGGAGATGAGCGTCGGCGTGGAGAGACAGTGTGGGTCGAGACTGCTCCTTGGAGCATGGAGGGGCTGCCATCCTGGAGGCTCCGTCCTGGGGAGGGACTCAGGCACACGCGGGGGCTCTCATGGGGACAGAGAGGAGACGTGGGCAGGCAGGCTGCGCGCTGAGCAGGGTTGGGTGGCTGGGCGCCTCTGTAGTTTTTCCTGGTGGGAACGCTGCCGTGGACAGTATCTGCCTGGGGCGAGTTCCCTCCTGCAGACAGACCTGTTATTTTCTGCAGGTCAAACCTCACAGCAATTTACATGCTTTGTGCCGGGGCATGCACAGGCTGCAGCCCGGGTGGGGGGGTTCTGATGCTATCTGGAGGCCCGGGTGTTCTGGGTTCTTTCAGGAGGAAGGAAGGTGGCTCTGGCAAAGGGAGGGGACAGCGCCTGGCCAAGGACAACTCGTAAAGGAGCACAGTGGGACAGGCTGACCTGCTTGGCCACAGTCCTGCACCTGGGGAGAGGCCTGGATCGTGTTGGGCTGGCTTCCTGGGGCTGAGCAGCGTTCTGAGGTCACTTCTCTGCTGGACTGGCTTCCCCTGGCCCCTGGGGCCACATTATGTCCACCTCCCTGCATCCTTGGAGGAGCCTGCACCTCTGGGTGTGGCTCTGTGGCTGGCACCTGGGTGTCTGACCTCGTGGCAGGGGACAGCTGCTCAGACCCTGAGACCAATGCAAGGGCTGGACACAGAGGCTGGCTGGGCAGCTGAGTCACCGTCGGCCCTGTGCCTCGGCCGACTGCCCCTCTGCTATGTCACTGTCTGGGCATGGGCCAGGCAGCTCGGTGGCGGGGACTCACCCCCAGTCCCCGGCCTGGTGCCTCCACGTGACCGCCCACAAAGACCCTTATTCAATCTCAGGTGCTCCTAAGATATGAGTCTTTATTCAGGTTTCACAGCCGATGAAGCAGGTCCCAGGGACCCTGGGCCATCAGAGGCTGGAGGGACCAGCACCCTGGTCTCTTCTGCTGGGCCTGGACTCGTTCCCCTGGTACCATGCGGGCTGCTCCCATTAAACGTGGTGCACCCCCCCCCCCCGACAGGTGCTCAAGGCTCTGGGGACGTTGTAGAGGGACTCGGGAGTCATGAGGCTCCTTCCATCCGAGGCCAGGAGGGGCTCCCGTTCCCGTGGCCCCCCTGTCACCTCAGTGCTCAGCAGCCCCTGGGATGTTCTGGTGGCGCAGGTGGTGTCTCCGTTGAGATATCTCTCCATGGCCCTGCTGGTCACCAAACAGGAATTGGCCCATTAGTGCCACCCAATTCCATCTCTAGGAGGCTCCTGTTAGCTCGCGAGAAACCCAGGATTCCCGCAGAGGGCCAGGGCGAGGCCGGCGGGCCTGGCGGGCTGGGAGGTGCATAGCCACCAGCTTAGTCACCAGAGTCCCCGGCTTCTTGTCTCCACCTGGCCGGACCTGGTGGCTGTTCCTGACCCCGGTGCTCCCCGCACACACACACCTGCGTGGGACCCCTTGGCAGTGGGCAGGGCTGGTTGAGCCTTGTGCAGGTTTAACCCAGAGCTCTTCGTCCTGGGCCCGGCTCTGCCCCCACACCTCCAGGGGCTCTGCTTCCGTGTGCCCTCCTGAGGGCCCCGCGGCAGGGTCAGGTCCCCAGGGCCTCAGCTGCCTGGGCCTTGGTACCTGAGCCAGGGTAGTGGGAGTGGGACCCATTCCCAGGCCTGGCGGGGAGGACGGCCAGTGCGACCCATGGAGACCCTCCAGTGGGCGTCAACGCAGACAGGCCTCTGTCTCTGTCCCGTGGTCCCCTGGGCTTGGGGAACTAGAGTCAGAAGTTGCTGTCACCGTCACTGCAGGAGGACAGTAGTGTTTTCCAAGAGCCCAGCGGTGCCTGGGCTGAGGGGCCTGGGGGGCCTGGGGACCATGGCGCGGCCTCCCTGGGCCTCCGCCTCTACCTCTGTAGAGTGGCCGGGCCACGGGGGTGCCAGGTGGGTGACGGTGCGCGAGGTTGGGTTCGTGTCCAGCTTTGGGGGCTCTGTGTCCCCAGGCGGGAGCTCCCCCGGCTCAGGCTGTGTTCCTTGCTGCAGAAGGGACGAGGGCACTCCCTGCAGGTGGCCTGGGACCTCGCGGTCAGGGGCATGTCACGGGGCTGTGCTGGCATGGGCTTCCCTCCCTGCCCGGCTCCCACTTGCTTCTCTGTGGGCTGGTCCTTGGAAGCACCCTGCCAGAGGTCCCTAGTCCCCCGCACCCCATCACCGACTCCTGGCCCCACCCAGGCGGCCTGCAGGAGCCCGGGGGAGCCTTCGCATTTGCGCCAGTGGCTTGGTGACCTGCCCTCGTTGGTAAGTTTCCTTCCTGGGCCTCGTGGGCTTGGGCCCTAGGAGTGGGCCTTCGAGGGCTGAAGGGAGAAAACCGGAGGCTTGGTGCTCACGGGAGCAGGTGGGACCCGGATGTTATCCAGTCCAGAAACCATGAGGGAGCGTGTGGTCTCAGTGGTGGGGGAAGCGCCTGGCGGGGCTTCCGGACCGCGGGACTTCTCAGGGCCTTCAGTGCCCAGCGGCAGGGGGGAGAGTGAGCCTGGACTCAGACAGAGTCTCAAAATAAAGTTTTGAGTTTGAGTCGCTGAGGCTGGCCTCAAACTTGTGATCCTCCTGCCTCAGCCTCCCGAGTCACTGGGATGACAGGCGTGCACCATCAAACCCAGTCCAAGTGGCGCTTTTGAACTTGGATCTAGTGTATAAGGAATCATGTTCTACTGGGAAGGTGGAGGCTGCCTGGCCTGTCGTCAAGCCCCAGCTCTGTCTTGTTTGTTAATTCACTCAGCTGGCAGTCGTGGACGGGGCAGCTGCTGTGGGACTGGAGGCAGCAGTGGGAGCAAGACAGACGAGACTGAGTGGCAGGGAGCGAGGGAGCCCATCACAGGGCCACTTCAGTCAGGGCTGGGTGCTCTAAAGGTCCTGAAGGAGGTGACAAGGAAGACCATGATGGAAACAGAAGATCAGTTTGGTTGGTGGTCAGGGAAGGCATTTGAGTTAAGGCTGAGATGGGGTCAGTCACAGCAAGGGTCCTAGAAAGAATGTGCTGTGTTGCGAGGGAAGCACATGTAAAGGTCCTGGGGTATGTCAGAGGAGTCCAAAATAGCCAGAGCTAGCCAATGCAAGGAAGGGAGAGGTGGCCCCCTTGGAAGGTGAGAGGACCGCCATGGGGCTCCTGCTGTATCATCTCACATCAAATGAGGCACACGGTTCTGCTCCCCACCTCCACTCCAATCAGGAGCTAAGTGAGGAAGTAGCTCTCAGCCTCTCTGGCTCTGGGCTCTGGGCTGTAATGAGCTGCAGGACTTCCATGGTGGTAAGTGTGTGTGTGGGGGGTGTTCAGGGACAGTGGGGGACTGGGGTGCTGTGCCCAGTCTCTCTGCAGTGAGTGCCAAGTGTGTATAGAAGGCCAGGGTGCCCCCCCTGGGTGCCTGAGTCACAGCCCCTGCCAGCCTCTTGGAGGCACGACGGGTCCTTTGATCCAACAGAGGCCGCCTTCTCAGCCCTGCAGGCCCTGGAACCTTCCGGGCGGGCGGCTCAGGTCCCTCGAGACAGCAGCCCCTTTCTTTCCCTCTTCCTCCTGCCTGAAATAGTGCCTGAGCGCCGGGCTCTGGCGGCAGGGAGACAATGGCAGCCTCCGGACCA